ACGGAGCACATCCACGTATTTCTTGTTGTGTTTCAGGAGGTCGCTGCTGGCTGATACACGGCAAAGAAAAATGTTTTCAGGCCTAAACTAGCTGATAGGAATCTAGAGGAGCGGCAGCCAGAAGAGACGTAAGGAACATCAGGAAGACCTACAATGCCGTGTTTTAATCAACAGCATGTTTTCCCTTATCCCTCTCCAGTTAATACAGTAATAAGAAAGAAAAAAAATAACTAGGGAAATGAATTCTGCTTTGTCTTGCAACACATATTCAAAAAACTGTGCCCCAAAACACCATATGAAAATTTGCAGAAGCAATTACAACACAAAATGTTTTAGAGACCCATTGCATTTTAAGCCATTTACTCACTTAAGTCAACTTTAATGTACTCAGCTTTTAGCAGCAAACAGAGCCAAGGTACCGGTTCTATCAATTATTCCTTGACGCGGCCGAGCGGCAGCAGATGAAGCCAGCAGCAAAGCAGCCAGGTGGCACAAGAGCTCAGCAAACCCGGCCGGGAGCTGGGGACCAGCCCGGGAGGGCCCGGCTCGCCAGGATAACCACATCGGACACCGAGCAGCCAGAGCCCCTCTGCCCCGGCTGGATCAGCATTGGACGGCAAGGTGGGTGCCTAGTTGAACCCCCTACCAACCAGACCTCTCTTGCCACCTTTTAGGCCTGCTGCTAGTCAAGTTCCCGGAGGACTACAGACAGACAGACACCACACCTGAGCCACAGGCTCCTCGTTTGGCTTTATTTCACATAGGCAAGTCTGCTGATGCTGGCCCTGCTGTCTTGTGCAAACAGCTGTGGGCCAGACCAGGTCTTGAATTTTTTTCTTTTTTTTTTTTTAATAGTGCAGAACAAAGACGAGCCAGAAGGACACACTTCTGTCAACGCCCGTGTGGTTTCTAGGCTGGCTTGCAGTACCCCTTTTCCTCGTGTGGTGCGACTGCTCCAGGTTTATTCCAGCGAATGCTGACTGCGAAGGGGCTCTCCTTGCTTGTCCCCAGCGTTTCACAGAGGCAGCAGGCAGGTCAAGGCTGCAGGCGAGCGGAGAGAACACAGATAATTTGACCCAGCAGCAAAATGAAACAAAATTGGACAAGTCCAGAGACATCGGAAAGCTGAGGGGTTTGAAATGCGTCCATGGGACCTTCAAAGCAAGCACCAAACCCAGCCCCAGCAGGCGGCCCTGAAGACTGGCTTAAGAAAAGGCCGAGCAGGATTTTAAGGCACTTTGCAGCCATTTTCCTCAGTTTACCACAGTGCAACGCTTCCCCTTGCAAATGAGTCCCCAAACAGCTCTGCTTGTAGGATCTCTGCAACGCCACAGATACACGTAAAGAAATCCCTCTGCTCCTAGGAATACATCACCACGAGCGGCCGGCTCGTTGGAGGGCAACTACAGACTTGGCAGAAGTTGAAGGCCTGAAAGACCTTCTGCTGAAGGTCCAGGCAGCAGGAGACCAACTGCACCTTGCTGTGGAAGTGACAGACTGAAATCAAACACCTCTTAAAAGCATTTGGTTAAACTGAAATGCAGGCCATCTCTGTGGAGTTTAAAACGAGTGCCTTATTCTGCTTTAGCTCTAATCTGTTCCTAATCAACTTAAGACAAATTTATCTTAAGCCAGATTTACATCTGTTAAAAAGGATCCACGTAGCCTTTTGTTCCAGAATTGTCACATTGATTTTACAGAAGCATCCACTGCTTAAAGGAGGTAGAACAGCTTCCAGAAACCAGCTGAAGACTGAAAACCAAGCCAATTCATACAGACATCCCTTAGCTCTCCTCCAAGGAGAAAGCTTTCAGATACACCTCAGCTCACAGCAGGGAGGCAAACATCGCGGATTACAAACCCAGCCTTGCTCACAGGCTGTGCCCCTCGACGCTGCCTTACAAGCGGTGCCATTAACAGGGGGCCCGGGGAGACACCAGTGATGTCGGACGCCTTGAGTCACCGAGCGAGAGCTGCCGCAGGACTCGAGCACAGCGTCAGCAGGTAAAACAGCATCCAGAGATTAACTGCTGTCCCAGTTTCTCATAATTAAGCAAGATTAACAGAGAGAGAGTCCCAGCAGCCAGTGGTATTAGGAGCTCAGATTTGTTTCCAAGACTATAGATGAAGTGGCTGAGAGGTTTGGGCAACAGCAATTGCCTCTAACAACACTCTTGAAGTACAAATTCTAATAATTTATGTGCTTCAAATCCATTTGTTACATACACTGCACCGCTGCTGTTCTCTTGGCATTTAAATTTGCAGTAAGAGATGAGCTCTCAAAGGACTTAGTGCTTGAGGCTGTTTTACACAGGAGTCCTGAGCATCCACCCAGTTCTGTGCTGGGCTTTAACACCAGTTTACTTAACTCAAACTGGGGTTGAGGGGGAGGGAAAGGGGAAGGAAGGGATAAGGGCAGGAGGGACAGACAACCAAGGACTACAAATCTGTTAGAATATGGATTATAGGAGTCTCAAGGTAGAAGCAGGCGTGAATTTAAACCTTCGTCAAGATAGCAGAAATAACGACTGCAGTTGTTTGCTCACTAAGCATGCCTGCACCTCTCAAACTGCAGGACACTCACGCTGGAAGGGGAGAAGAGGAAGGAGAAGCGTGCTTTGCTCTGGGCACGTGGTGGTTTGCATCCTCACCTCACCAGCATTCAGCATATATTCAGTTCAATACCTGTCACACCTGTTAGGCCAAAGAAATTTAAAATAAGTTTCAGCCATAAATAGCAAATATTAGTGGACCTAACTTCACTGATTCAGAGTAATGATTATCACACTGACTTCCACAATAGTGGAAGTTACCTTTCTTCCCACCCAAATTTATACTCGCATCTCAATTTTTTAACATAAAGCTGAACAATCAGTGCCTGGAAATTAAAACAAGTATCGATAAAACGACTCCTAGGAACAACTTTGAGCCAACAGCTTTGGCACAGAACTGAACCTCTTAAACACCCGGATCTGGGAGAAGTAGGCAAGAATTAACAAAGAACTCACCAGCTTGCAACCATCGTCCCCAACCAAGCCTGCGGCCTCCTGGCTGCTCCCCCCAGCGCTGTGTTCTTACACATGGCCGCCCTCGCCAAGGCTTTTGATGGCGTGGGTGGGAGAAAAAGGGGAAAATCTGCTCTTGTCACCAAAGATAGTATGAAGTCACACACCTGTCTTCCACAATAACAGCATTAAAGGAGTATTCCTCTCTCTTCCTTCCATTTCAACTAAATGCATTTTGAGACTCCTACTGAAGAAGTAGTATTCTTTACTGTCAAAGCCACACGCAGACGTGATATCGACTATGACAAGCGGAGTAGACAATAGGTTCATGTAATGGTACAAAGTTCTCCAAGGGTCTGAATCATTTAAACATGTTAAATATTTTGTAACCAAGGTACCAACCGCAATTTTAATCTAAGGAACCCAGCTCAGACATCTGCATTCAGCAGTTTCCACTGAAGGAGAGCTGCCGAGCCCCAACCCTTTCAGAAGTTGGGGTCCACTGTAACTGAAGAAGTTGAGATCAAGGTCAGTCTAAACCTATGAGTCAAAAACACCTTACCATGCTCTATGGAAAAGACAGTTTGAATTCAACATAATTTACAATTAGGGAAGGGAAAATAGTCTTAGATTTGACCATCAGTAAGCTTTCATTTAGGAAAGAATTAAACAAGATCCAAATCACGTTAACTTGATAAAGCACCTGTTGGATGTTTTTAGGGGAACTTCTCCCCCCACAATCCAGCGGAGTTACTCCTTAGCATCCAAAGCAGAATTACCTGCGCTTCTTGAAAGGTGTTGAAGTCTGGTGTAATATAGTGTCAAGCTCCTACAATGCTGACAAACAACTGATCACTTCAACCAAAACAAGACTTAACACACTGCAAAGTGTTTCAGGTGGCTGGAATAGCATGAAACATTTTGCAACCAGTGATCGAGTTCTTGGACTAAGTGCTGACAATGCATGAATGAAGAACAGCAACAAGACTTAACAAACATGATTAGTATTATCCAACTGCTTTGTTATAAATATATTATGTACATTCAAACATCACATTAAAATATTATTCCATTACACCAGAAGAGATTAAGGCTTTATATTATTTACAGAAACAAGCAAGCACCTTAAAAAAAAAAAGAACAAAACACCAGTCATTGACATTTCCCTTCTAACATTACAAGTTTGATACCTTGAGCTCTTGAATACAGCTATTTGCAATGTGCCCAATGCTAGAACTATTTTAAACATTTATTGTCAGGGTAGGAAACACTTAATCGAAGATTCATCAGTGAGCACTCCACACGAACAAACGCGAGCATGTGTTGTACTGGGTGCCCTCCCTCTCCTCAGAGGCTTGTTAAGTTGAAGGCTTACGCAGAAACGGTTTGCTCAATTCCACGTAGAGAGTAGGACAATTTTATTTTCAGGGAAGCTGAAGACACTTGAGGATTCGCAGCCCACTGGTGGAGTGGGATTCTCAAAGTCTGTTCCACATGACATCAGTTAGACTTAACATGATAGCGAAGACAGAGCTGTAAGTTCATCAGTCACTAAGTGCATTGAGCAGTGATGATTTTATAGGCTTCCATTACTCCGACACACTGTTTTCATGCAGTGTATTTGGACTCAAACACGAAGTGACAAACTGTCGTCACCATTCCCCCTATAGGTCTTAGGCAACAAGCTATTTTTGAAGCGTTAAATAATGTTGATACAACACATGTTTACTACGCCACCATGTACCAATGGAGTGACTGTCCTGCTTTCTGGCTTGCCCAATAGCCTTATGAGATACAGTGATGAAATATTTTCTAAGATGTAAGCAGACATGGCTAAACGAAAAGGTGCTCAGTAAGAGTAATCATCTTCAAGTATTGTTTTAAGAATTAGTTCTTTCATTACAGTCTGTGTTAGCACTTTTTAGTTTGTGCTTTAGAGTCTGTTATTTCTTTGCAGGTCTTGAATTTGGCTGATGGCTTTTTTTTTTTTAAAAAAAAAACAACATTGGCAACAAGTTAAGGATTGCAGAAGGCTGGCAGAAGTTATTTAATTTTCTGAGCCCATTTCATGTCATCTGCTCTTGGCTTCTCCCCAGTAACTGCTTGAATAATGTTCTCCAAACACCTCCAGAATCTTATCTTCTCTAATGGATAGTTCAGCCAACCTAAGTGATTGCAAAGGAAAAAAAGGATTAGTTTGTCATAGCATCCAAAGTTCAATGTCTTGCAATGTTTAGTTAATAACATTCTTTAATTTAAACACAAGGTAAAATGTAAGGGGAGTTCAGGGGTGGACTGCTCTATGGCCATTGCAAAGCTATCAGAAAAGGGACTATCAAGTTGAATGATTTGTGTTAGAAGCAAGACATTTGTATTAGCAGCACCTTAGATTTCATATTGAAATTTAAGCAGCAAACAAAAACCCCAACCCAACAATTTCAGCCATTTTTCCCCGATTAGTTTCCCCACCACCAAAACCAGCTCGGCTTTTCCCTGTGTTTCTCATTAGGTAGTACAGCAAGAAAGTAAATACACACAACATGGCTCTGAAATCTCAAATACATTATCAATGCCAGAGTTTCTAGAAAAAAAGAAATAATTAAAAAAAAAAAAATCAAGATTTCTGTTTGGGACCTAAGCACCACTAACTAAGGCTCAGCAAACTAAAAGTATTTTCTTAAACGAAGCCTCAAGTTTAGATAGTTCCAACATCAATTTTCATTTTCAAGGTACTTAAACGTATTATGCTCTCCCTGGGCAAAATTAAAGTTTGTGTAACTGATAGCTCATGAAACCTGTGATGGGGAAACTGTTGTAGCACCACGCTGTGTTTAATGGTAGCTGACGTTGGCTGCTTCCTGGATTAAAAGGGCAGCACCGCAGCAGCACACTCCCAATGCTGCACAACTCTGCTGACACAGCACTTCTGCTTCCCAGTGACCAGAAAGGCTGTACCAGGTCGATATGGGACAGGCTTTTACCGTTTTATGTAGAAATGGCAGTAAGTGCCATCATGTTCTGCATGCAACAGGAGTTTAACGTATCTTCCCTAGCCTACAGACTTAGGGGATTTTGAACGCTTTGTAGAAATGTTGCACTGTACAGACTGTGAGGCTGGAACTCACACGGGCTTAACAGGCCTCACCCTGAATTCAGAAGGGTTTTATGTCCCACTTTTAGGATATTAATTAGTACATTAACTTGATTTTCTGACACTGTATTTTGATGCCAACTTAACTATATATAACTGACAGGAGAGTGCCTGAAGAGGCAATTTCACAGGGTTTTATCGCAATGTATCATATAGTAACTTTAGACCTCTGTTTCATTAAATATTGTAAAACTAGGAAAACCAAAAGAAATCAGCACCAGGAAATGTTATTTCCCTGCTGAAGTTTTCATACAACCAGGAAGAGATATGTGTACCCAGGGTTATATTAGTTATCCCACACTTACAGAACTGTTCTGTAAGCACACATTATACTTTACTCCAGGTACATTTCTGGAAAAGGGGAAAAAAGCGTAAGAACACAAAACCGAAGGAGAGGCAGGAATGAAGAAGTTGTTACCACAATGGAAACGGTGAGCTAGCAGCAGTGGTTCACGTTAGAGGAAACAGCTAAAATGCAGGACAGCACAAGCAAGACTGGAACAGGGGAAAGCTGCGGCAGAGCCAGCTCTGCCGGGTCCAAGTACCATCCCCGCAGCGGTGACACAGCCAGCAGAAGGGAAACAACTGTTCTTGCTGGTGATGTCTTAGACTATGTGTATAGCTATTACAGCACAGAAATACTAAAGGAGAGAACATTCAGGATATTCACTGCTGAAAAATATCATATTTCTAGAGAGCTAGATCATTCCCAATCAGACACAACTACAGCTTTAACGATCTATCAAAAAGGGCACTGTTTTCAGCCACCTTCCGTAGCTGGAGGTGACCTTTCCTAGCTCACCTGCGACGCTGCAGCTCCACTCAACTCACTGTATACTGACGCCCTTTAGGAAGTCCGCCCATGCAATTCCCATTAGCAGAGCCATCACCCCTCAAGGAATGGATGGCTCCTTCCCGGTGTCTAAAAATGGCAGTCAGTCTGAAAGCTTTAACACTGGGAATGCCAGAAAGCTCCGTTATCCGACACCTTCCCTGGCAAGGATACAGTGGTGGACCTTTACGTACACAGGTCAGCCCTGAAACCAAGCATACGCTTTGGTCTTGGCTGTCTACTCTTAAGTCAAGTCACTAACAAGTGCATTACAATAACTAGTCCTATTTTACTCAGTAAAGGCCCCTTTTAAATAGCACATTGATTGCATATTTCTGTCCTCCTCCTCACTTCTGCCCTCGAAGAAAAAGAATTAGGGCTGCAGAAAACACCTTGCTCCAGTGGAAAATCCAAGTATGCAATCTATCATGGTGTGTTATGTCAGACTAGTATGGTATGAACACTTACAGAAAGCATGGAGTGAACAGAAGCACGTGCTTTTTTTTTTTTAATGAGGAAAAAAAGCAACTAGCCCAAGACTGTTAATAATGGTCAGGTTTAAAATTTCAGGACATAGCAGGACTGAAAAAAGCTCTTAGGGTGGCAAGATTTTTGCCATCATCTGTCAAGTCAGGCTTCTTAATTGTACCGTCTTTTTACATGACATTCTGGTCACGAGAACTGGATTTGTTTCTTGGCAGAGATTTCAAAACCGACATAAACTGTTTGTCAAAACCAATGACAGAATGAAGAACCAGAGTGGTTTATTTCCAGCTGTCTGATTAACTTGATAACTTATTCAGGATTATGCAACACTGGTGACTGAGTATACCTGCCTGAACAGTGGGCATAAAATTGAATATAGATATAAAAGGAACCTAAAGTCGGTTTTCTGCAAGCCTGTCCGCTCCTCCACTCCAAATCAGAATGAATGCTGAAAAACCAGAAGCCTTGCTTTAGAAATGAGCATTCAAGGGAAGCTGCGCTTGCAGATGATATGCTCTTTTGAAGGAGCTTCAGCTTTAAGACTTTAATGAACAAAATCCATTACTAGCATGAGATGACCAAGACACCATGCAATCGGATCTCAGTACCACTGACTGCCCCACCAGGCTGAAAGTTACGTTTTAGCCAACCACGAATCTTGCCCCCACATTTTTTTATGCAACAAAACCAACTAAGAGCTTGAGTTTTGCTAAGAGCTTGTGCAGCTAAGAGCACAGTTAACTTCGCCATGTCACTTTCTAGGTATTTAATAGGTTGTCACTAAATTACATCTTGCCAGGTGAATCACACTAGAGTACTAAAGAGAGCTTGCAGTATGAACCAGGTGGCAGTACCAGTTGTAATGCAGAAGTACGTCTCGTGTGGAGACACATGATGGATCCTGTGATGCTTCCGTGGCAGGATAACATGCCAGTCCTGTAGAAATATGACCCAGCGTGGAAGACCAAAGTACGTGTGAGACCACTTGTGAATCTGGTTCGTCATGGTTATGAAGATGATAAGGGCAAAGACATAACACTCCCAAGGACATGTTTCATATAATGCCTCTGCAAAACAAGATGTGTATCTTTAAATATCATTTCTGAAAATGTAAATTTCTACTAGGAAAATGATGTCTTGCCCAGACAGAGCTGCCTGGTGCTGCAGGAACTAACAATGGCCCCAACGAAGCCACTTTGGCAGAAGTGTCACAAGAGAGGCTGGTGAGTGCCAACATCTGTCAACTTGCCATAAACAGGAAGTTAAACTGAGTTTACGATCTATACAATTAAATTAATCCTTTAATTCTTGCACTTCTAGTTTGCAAATAAAGTACTTCTAGACAGAGATGAAGCACTTTTATACACTTTAGAACAATGAGTTTCCCTATATGCACAGTCTGATCCCTCTTATAAAAAGAATATTTACTGTAACTTCTAATGCTTCCTTGCAAGACTCCTCAGCCACAGATTCTCTGTTGAGCTAGAGAATCTAGCCGTCCCGCCTTCTAGTTGCTCCACCTTCAAGGAAAAAAAAAAAAGCTTCCCTCCCTCCTCCCAGGAGCATCATGCTTCCAACAGCTACTACTTGTCATCTCACATTCATTGATTTCTCATAGCCTCACACAGACAAATGTTCATTTAAATATCAACAAAAATGCTAAATCCACATAAGTCAGGAGTAACAGCTTACCTGGGGAAAAAGAAACAAATTTGTATGCCATGTTTGCCAACGGGACTAGTGTCATAAAGCAGTTGTCTCCATTGGTCTCTATAAAATCATGTCTGGTAATTGCTGTGGGGTCAATATGATGTTCTCTAAAGGGTCTGATGAAAGCCTGAAAAAACAGAATTAAGAAACATGACACCATGGCTCAATAATGATCTTGGAAAGAAAAAAATATAAAAAACCAAAAAAACCTTGCCTGCATTCAAATCTGATGACTGAGTTCCACAGTACAAACCACGTAAGCAGGATTCAAACGTTTGTGATGACAACGCTTCAGATAATTTGATTTACATTTGCAAAGCAATTCAGTTCCCAGACTCAAATCCAGTTTTTCATTGCTTTTCAGTTTTATTTTGCTTAGTTTTCACTTAGGACCTTTAGTCTCTAGATCTCAAAACCAAAGCATCACCATCCTAATTTCACAGACAAAATGAGCCTGTGTAATTCACAAATATAAGTCACTTGCTAAGCAGTATAAACCAAGAAAACACTAAAAAAAAAAAAAGAAAATTCAGCCTAACATTTTGTATGGGCTACAGATGACAGTATTAACAGACTAAATGCAAGTTAAATGACTAGACAAACCAATGAAAGTTAAACAGATTATACAAAAGTCTCCTCTAGGAGTAGAAATCACAGCTGGATACACAATCCCAGAGCAGACACAGCAGATGTGATAGGTAGGACTGGGACAGGAAACCAAGTATACTTATTTGCCTTTAACACATATATCATGTACAGTCCACGCAAAGGTGTCCTGATCAATCTGAACTCGGGTTTATTTAATTCATAGTCTCCTGCAGTGCTTTTTTTTTTTTTTTTAACTATGGTCCAGAGATAGAGGGATTCAAGGACTACTAAGTCTATTGAAAGTGAACAAAAATAAGCCTAAAACCAACAGTCTTAATTCTGCTGTTCTAGTTCATGTACTTCTGGATAATCACAAGGAATATCCCATATACTTTTTTTTTTTTAATAGGGATCCTTCTAATATTGCACTGTGAGGAGTAATTACTGGTAGCTATGAAGAAATTTATTTTAAAAACCAGATTATTGCTTATTATAGAAGTCAGTGCACCTTCCACTACGCACCTGGCATTTGTAGGCACAGATGTATAATACATCTCAAATCTGAAACTTCAGTCATCACCATTCTACTACTACATTTACAATAGGGGCCAGTAGCACAGAGAACTGGAAAGATTTCTTACTGGAGCGTCTTCATGTTTTCCAAGACAGCTTTTAGAGAGTTCAGCTACAGGAGCAGTTCTCCACATCTCTGTGTTTATTGGCCTTTTGGGATATCTACACTGGTCTGGCCAGGTTTCTATGCTTGTGGTGTCACAGGCCATTCCCACAGGACCTCGGGAAGGTCTGCGAACACTGGTATTGCAAAACTGTGTGCAAACCTTAAACAAGGTGATAAAATGGAACAGTGTCACCTTGCACATGTCACCTAGGCCAAGTGTAAACATGGCGCTTTACCAGCAATATACCCTGCCGTTCAGTGGAGGAGGGTTCTGGGGGCGGGGGAGCTGGTTACATTGGCAAGACTGCAAGAAAGATACAGCTTATATACACTGACACAGCTGGGAATACTGCAAGTATTCAGAAAAGTACTTCATAACTTTTTCAAGCTTAAGGATAAGAATCTCAAACCTTTCCAACTATGGGTAGCTCCACAGATCCCCAGGTATCTGCTCCCCAGTGAAATAATCCTGACAGAAAGTCAGCCGTAATAACTCCTGCAACTTGAATGAGGAGAGAGACAGTTAGATATACACAAGCATTTTTACTGACATATTCACATTTTATATCTGGTTTACAAGTTCACTTGTTTATCTACCTCTAACTTGGATACTTACAACCACATGAGATCTACCCAATCTGAATGAACATAAGGTCAGGCAACTAGGAAAAGAGGTTAACATTTGGACGGTTACGATCTTCATTACATCTATACCAAGGTTTTGCATTTAACTCATCTTCTACAGAAGAGCTTGACAAATCTTTACATCTGCTGGTATGGAAAATACTAGTAGGTTAGAACTGAATCACTTAGATCTGCCTACCCTCTTCTTCAGTAGTGTTTAACAGATTACTTGGCTATAAAATAGCTGTTAAAGCCATCCCAACAGATAATACTATCTGTGGACCCTTCCTCTTCTCCCTTGTCCCTTATGTCTGTAATCAAGAAGCACTGAACTCCAACGACAACAGATAAGAACTAATTAAGAAGCCGCTCCTGGGTACAGCAATGCTATTTACAAAACAAGATTGGAACATCAAACAACTTCAAGACTGTGGCATCTGCAAAGCTATAGGCAAGGCCCCAGAAACCATGCTAACGATTCCCCGTAAGGGACATTGCGTACTTGCGATATTCGCATACTAAGTTAGATACACCATTAAGCAGAGGTTATTGGAACAAGCGTAAAAATTTTTCTAGCTGCCAACCACAATAAGTTTAAAACTGTGGTCAAGTAAAGGTGATTTTCAGTTCTTGCACATAAAGCCCTATTTTTGCCTTCATGTTCTGGATAATCTACCTGTCCAAGTTTCTGGCTAATCTTGACATTAAAAAGTAAGGATGTAAGTGATGTTATTTGATCAGAACAGCTGTGTATTTTCCAGTTAGTCATACATCTGTCAGATGGTGTTTAACAGACACCTATCACTCTTCACCTGCAGAAGTCGTCTGACTCCCAGGTTCCCAATCCCTTTAGTCATGAAGTCTTCAACACAGTTTGAGACACTCTCCTGCATGAGCTCTACTGCCAGGCTCTTCATGCTTTTGAGGAAGAAAATTCAGAGAAGACTGCCGAAGAAGTTCCCTTGTTTTTAACGGAGAGGCTGGGGGAACGTGGCATACAGCATAGCAACAGAGCAACACAGCAAAGAGCGAGATGCTGCCTTGGGACCTCTACGCTTGAGGGCTTTAGGACAGTCAGACCCTGCCCTTTAAAGAACCCAGACACCAAGAGGTACCAGTTCAAGCCTGCACATCTTGCTCTGAGCAGGTGTCAAGAGAGATTAACTAGGTCTGGATGGAGTCCAGATTTGCTGAAGAATGAACCAGACTGAAAATCGGCATCCTTTTTCACGGCAGTGCCATTCCTTCAGGTTAATAAAAATATCGGAAAGATCTTTCTGTTTGTTTTTTTCCGAGATCAACCACCTGGCGAGTACGCACACAAGCATACTTGGTGATTCTCTGCGGAGCCAGCGTTCAGGCTCTGGACGGGGAAGGCAGCACATCCTTCTTACCTGCAGGTCTGGTTAAAAGAATTCAGCAGAAGCCCGACCCAGATTTCGAAACAGCTACTGCATACTGTACAAATATGATATACCTGGGAATCGATAGCATCTGATCTCAATGCAAATCCTTCAAAATCATATACAAAGTTCATGCCAATTAGAGCACTACATACTGATCGTGCAGTCTATTGTTAAATGAGCCACAGCAACAGAAATACAAAGATTGTGTGCTCAAAACATATGTTTCAAAGCAGCTCAGTCAGCAATTCCCTACTCTCATTTGGTGCTCGGAGCATAAGGCACTGTCACTTACTACAGGCATGCCCGGCAGTTCTCAGAGAAGCCTCCGAGTCCATGCAGACCAGAGGAGTAGTGACGGGGCCAGGTCAGAGTGGCTGGAACATAGTTCTTCAGTTTTCCCTGCTGATATTTACAAAAAGCAGGTTGTTTACAGAAGTTGCCCATTGTAACATAGTCTTTGCACCAGAAACAGCAGGCAGTTGCAAAACCAGAGGTGATGCAGGACATTTATTTTTTTTGCTCTGCCTGCCTCACCAACTCTTCTTCAGATGTCTGCGAAGCTAGGAGACCTCCTGGCTTTCTCCTCTGCTAGCAGCGTTAGTTTCTCTCTGTGTCTGAAGACTTTCTTCAAGCACAGCTTCTCATTTATAGTAGTGAGGCTTTTTGTGATGGGCAGGTACCCCTCTGCCTGCTAAGATGTTAGGCAAGACAATTCCAACTCACTTGTAATACAAACCAAAAGTTAAAATTGTTGGTGTACTGGTTCATCTTGCTTTGACTCCAAGGCATCTTTTTACTCCTCCCTCTCTCACAGAAACTTAAAAGCAATCTGAGATATGCCAGGAAACAAAACAACAAATGTGCACCTTTCCCCATAAATCACACAACTTTTATTTACCCTGGTCATGATCTGGACTTTGCCTGGTTCTCCTACTCCAATCAGGACGCTGCCTTGAGAGCCCAGTTTAATGAAGTGCTTGTAACATTAGCAGGATTGCTGAAGAGCAGGTAATTTTTAGAACATAAAAGAGGACGAGGTTATTCTGTTACTATTGATCAAATGGTCTCCATCTGCAGGGCACAGTGGTTACCTACAGTGCATGCAGCACAGCGTATTTCAGATCTGCCCCTCCTCAGACACACCCCTCACCTCTACAGTCCTTCCCCTCGCCTTTCATTTTCAAAAAGGATGAAGAAATAAAATCAGGATCAGCGTGGCGCCTACTACCCCAAAAGACTTTCTTTTCATATTATAAATCAATCCCATTGCTGAATCCATTATTTAGTTGGCTCAAACTCTGAAATACAGCAGGAGACGCTTCATCCTTTGTGTATCACCCTACTGTACTGAAGACAGCTTATTATTATAAGCAGTAAATTCTGTACACTTATTTTTGTTTCAGACCACCCATGTAAGCTACAGTGAGACAGGTTGGAGCGTGATAGCTTTTAGATCTGCACCTAGCAGCTGAAAGAGCAAACAGCCTCGATTCAGGGGGAAGATATCCAAACACCACTTCACTTTGCAACAACTAATCCACCATTCTGGCTGAGGCACTCACCCTATTAACCCGCGTTGCCTCCAGCACACTGCATTATCAGAGCTTGAAATAACAGCAGGAAGAACAACAAAAATAGAGGCAAAATACTGACAGTGCAATAGATATTTCACATGCTACTTTGGTGTCAGCTGGTAGAAAGCTAAGAGGAAAGAATGAAGGGTGCCTGAAGCAGTGCATTATACTAACGCAATCTGAAGAAAAAAAACCCAAAACCCTAACTACCAGAAATCATATTTCAGCTGTATCGCAGAAGGGCTGGCTCACTCTTCAGCGGTTGTGTACGACGAGTTGTACTAAAAGAGCAAAAACTGTACCAAAGGTTATACGTGACTAGCACCGTAACACTTTCTTTGCACCCTCTCTCCAGCCTCAGAAGGCACATCAGACAGCAATGAACTGAACTCAATATTCTCATAAACCTAGCACTGCCTTTAGTTAAAATGGAAAAACCAAGGCACAGGTGTTCAGCTATTTCTCTAAGGTGGTATAAGATCTTGATGCTCTGTCATCAAGGTCGGGAGGGCGAGATAAGATTGACAGCCCTGAACATGAATTAAGAGTTAATGATAAAGTCAGAAAAAGCAGGATATCCACAGTATAGACATATATGAACTGCCACGGTGGATTCACACACTCATTAGAAGCAAGATCAGGAAAGCATTAGAGAAACACTGCTCTGTACACATCGGTTTTACTCCAGGCTGCTGAGCAGAGGGATGGAGGACCAGCCCATCTATGGCTGATATCTGAAGAGGAGGTGAGCACCCAGAGAACACAGGGGGAGAGGAAGAAGGCATTGTAGTTAAGAGGTGAGGTGCAAAACTTGCTCAAAACACCAGGATTTCTTTGTTTTGGAAGCAGACTGCTGAATCAGGAAAAAAAAGAGAAGGGCCTAGCATACAGGGAGACCAAAGGTGTGCAAATGAACTTCAACCAGTAGCAGGTGTTTTAAAGTGAGCGAACACAAGACTGATGCACACACGAGCCAGAGCGGCTGTCCTCCTCAGGCCCCCCGCACTCGTGCTCCGTCGCGCAGGCACGCCTGCACGCCCCAGGTACCGCAGCACCCTGGGACGCCTCCGAGGGCCTCCCGTCCGAGCCGGGGGACACGGCACAGCCCGACCGCTGGCACCCCGCGGCCAAGTCACCTGCTGGGCGGGGGGGTTGCCGCGCTGGAAGGGCAACTGCCCCAAACATATAATCAACACAAGATGGCTTTGCTCCCGCTTGTGCTCTGTTCAGAAACCAGACAATACGTAGGGGTTTGTCTCAAAGAAAAGCCCCCACCCCTCCTCTTCCTTGCTGAAGTACCAGATCGAGAGGCTACAACTTGCACCCTTAAGGGCTTCTCTTGTCACACACCACTGGCTGCTCCCAGGCACCGGCGGAAGGATGCCAGGTTAGAGCGGGACGTTTGAGGTATGAGGTGTTCAAGAGAGAAAACTATTTTGCATGTTTGTAACAAAAAGGTGTACTTCTCCAAAATTTTACAGAGCCAAGTGTAAGCCTGGCTTTGCATAGATATAATTCTCAAATTGTAACCCAGAAGCCTTACAGTATATAAAGTTCCATATTTACTGTAAAAATACAGTTAGAGTCTGTGAAGAGGAAAAAAAAACAGCATAAGATGTTGTTAAATAACTTGAAGCTATTGTGTAAGACCACTGGGAGGTACAGTCATTTTTAATCAGTGACTGTACGAACCAGTTGAGTGTTACAGCACTAACAAGTCGGGGGAGTGGCCAATTCCACAAGAGAAAAAATTCTGTTTCCTAAAAATCAGTATGCTAAAGTAACAGTTGTTTGTTACTTATATGCTTATAAAAATAAAATGCCTTAGTGATCTGCATTCCACATTTAGTGGTTTTTCAGTACAGAGAAGGCAGGGGTTTGATACAATGGCAAGTCGT